GACCCTGGTGACCTGGCTGTCCTGGGCTGCCGGACTTCCCTCTCTCCCCTAAGAATCCGGGCTTGCCTCTCTCTCCAGGGAATCCTCGGTCACCTTTCTCTCCCTGTCGGGGAAATTCAAAGCCTGGCTCCACCTTCCGGCACTTTTCTCCACTGGGGCCCACCACGGGCACCTGCTGACCCCCTCCCTGGGGCCACCTGAGCCACTTCTCAACCCAGTCCCCAAAGTTAGAGTCCAGATCCTGAGCAAAAAGGGTTTTGCACAAAGGACGAACAGGATTTCGCGCAGTGTGTCCCTGGGGGTCCCCGCACACCCCTGCCCCTCCCCGGGAGGACCACCGCACCTTTGGGCCGGGAGGGCCGGGGCGCAAGGGGCAGACACAGCCGGAGGTGTTGTGCACCTGGAGAGGGAGAGAGCGATGAGCCGCGGGACCGGAGCCCCGACTGACGGGTCCGACACGAGTGCCCCGCGCCCACCTCTCACCTGGAGGGCTGGGTCCGTCTCGGGGGCCGACGGGACCCGCCGGGGCAGCCCCTTCGCCGTCGTCTGTGCGGAGGAGAGGACGGGCTGAGTGCGAAATCCCTGATCATCATCCCCATTCTCCACTTCCACCATCCCCGTCCCGGCCTGCCAGCCCGTGTCTTCCAGAGCCCCTTGCCCGGGTGTCCATCCCAGGCTGTCCCCGACACCTCCCCGGGGACTGGGACCCCTCCAACACCTGCATCTGCAGGAACTCCTCTTCCACTGCGCTCCCCTCAAGGACCTCCGGGGCGGCCGTGGGTCGGTGCTGCTGGGACAGACAGAGAATACTCAGTGCAGGGCTCGGGGGGATCCTGGGGGGAAGGTGGGACCCTTCCCCAGTCGGGGCTGCCCTCAGCCCGGCGGGGGGGTTCAACCCCAGCGCTGCTGACGGACTGCCCCATGTGAGGGACCCTGGGAGCTGCCGTGACTTCTTTCCAACGGGGAAGAGGGAGCTGAGAGTCGCGCTCGAGATTGGAGCAGGGCGCGGTGCCCGGGCTGCTGTGTGCAAGCAGGACACGGATAAGGGGAAGGACACAGCAAGGAGCCTGGAAGCAGCTGGCGAGTTTCGGGAGGGCTGGAGGAGCTGGAGGAGGGCCACTGCCCAGGGAAAAAGCACCTGGCCTCGTGTGCGCGGCGGGGCATGGCCTGACCCCTTCGCTGTCCCCCTGGAGGGTTGGTCCCGGCGTCTAGGGGCTGTTGCCAGAGGAGGTTTGCTCAGCAGCACCTTCCCCACGCGCTCCACGCTGGTGTCTGTGTCTGCAGGAGCAGAGGAGCGCTGGGATGGGAGGTGGTACCAGGCTGGAGGAGTACCAGGCTGGCACAGCACTCCCAGTTCCCAGCACCTGCCATGGCCACAGCAGTGCCACCAGCAGCCCTAGACCCTGGCACCCTCCACATCACCCTCCAAGTGCCCCCTCCATGCTGAGGCGCAGGAATTCGGGGTGCTGGGATCCCCATCCTGCCATGCCTACCTTCCTCCCCATCCAGGGTGAGGGGCGTGGGGCTGGTGCCTGGATCGGGGGCGGTGTCCTCTGAGCCCAGAGAAAACCACTGGGCCGTGGCAGGGTGCAGACACCCGGCCAGCACCGAGACGATGCAGAGGGTGCGGAAGAGTCTCA